GCAACCCCACCCACCCCTCCCCCACCTCCTGTTCGGTATATGTGGGGTATGTGCATTTATAATCTAGGATTTTATTTTAGAATTTATAGAAAAATTAAAATTCAAAAATATCAAGTGAATCACTAATCGTGAAACAACCTAACAGAATGTTTCAATGCCTTGTTCACGATATTTAAGCAAATAGAAACAAGTAACCCGCTCTTCGAAGAAATCTGTCTTATCGGAAGTAAACTGCTTGGTTTCCGCAGAATTCGTTGCGCAACATACTGTACTATACATAGGCAAAGACACCAATCCGATCATGCCTGAGCCGCTCTAAATGCCAAATGCATTTGCATATGACACCTTAAACAGCTTAGCGATCATGACTCAAAAAATCACTAAGAAGTTCAGGCAGGCTTAGGTCAAACTCTGAAATTCGACATTTTTCCAGCTTATCAAGAACGAAGTAGCATGCCATTTCTCCAACTTATCAGGGATGACAAATCACAAGGGCAAAGCAGCTCAACGTGAAGAAATGTCACGAGAGAAGAAACAAACACTGACGTAAGCGCAATGTGGAAAACGTACCCTAGCCATGCTCTGTGACTGGATTTCACCACTGACTGCTCCATATTGCGCACCATTGATTCCATAGCCGTAACCGTGCGGTTGCTGCTGCGGGGTGCGCAGCACACCACGTAGCGCCACATGGCCATCCTGAGCGTACTGTCCGGCTCCGATCTGCCCGTGAGCCACCTGTAAATGGATCGACGCTCATCAACATCGGTGAGTATTAAAAGCCACGGGCACTGAATAACAACTTCGATGACGAAAAAATCAATAAAGAACAACAACTGCAAATGAAATAAGAAGGACGAACCAGAGTGGCTTTGGCTGGTGCAACCACGTCTTCCAGCATGGTCGATCCTTCATCACCTTCGATTCCGAGGTGATCCTTCATGGCCTTCTTCTTTACGATGATGTCGATATAGCCAGCGATGAGCTGGCCGATTTTCTCACCATCCAACGTCTGTACGGAGTAGTACCCATCCTGGTAATCACCGAAGTCCTGAAAAGGTGAAGCTGAATAATACTGCGACGACATAATGAAAATTGATATAGTTCGCAACATTGACGATGCGGAAGTACCACTCGCGCATATTGTACGGGAACCGTCTTCTGAAACCAGGCTCAACTATGGCGTCAGGCTGATTTCGAAATTTCGTGACCCCTCCTTGTAGGGAGATCCTTGATATGACCCCCATCACTACCACCAGAGTTCAGTGCTCCGCTGCGAATGCTCTGATTTTGCATATTTCACGCTCTTTCGCATTCCCCTAAACAGTTGATAACCCACCAAAATCACCTCCTCCTCACAACAACAACCGCGTGTAACTTATGGTTAGTTATCCTTTTTCAACCCTGTACGCCTCCCCTCTTGAAAACTGCAAACATGAT